TGGAAAGTTGCCACGAAATATAAACCCGATCTTAAGCCACTAATCTCAAAGCGTCGCAACGCGGTTCAAAGCAGCGAAGCTCCATCTGACCTGTTTTCGGGAAGCCGTCTCCAAACCGCAGCGCCGACCGCCGGACCGCCAGATTTGCGGTCGTTCCCCAGGAGACGCGCTCCATCTTTCTGCTGACGTCATACCAGTACGTCAGATGAGAGATGCCGACCGCCCGGGTGAACCGGTTGACCGGTCGGGGCATTTCTACCATGCCCACGAAGCCGTCCGTTTCGTGTCCGCGCGCTCTGATGGCGTCCGCAAAGTGCTGGAGGAGGTCCGCGTCCGGGATGACGTCATCGTCGAGGAAGAGGACCCAGTCGGCTGACGATTCGGACAGGCCGTGGTTACGAGAAGTTGAGGCTCCTGCATAGTGAGATCGACGTGTTTTCACGCGAACTTCGACGTATGAAAGCGAGTGTGAGATTCAGCAAATACTTGATGGCCACGGTGCGAGTTTTGAGCACATTTGCCTTTTCAAATAGAGGTTCAAGGCTCCAAGCCCAGAATGTTTGTTACCACCTGCGATGAGAAGCGACATCCGTTCAACAGCAGAAATCGCTAAAAGATTGATGAACGTCAAACTCATTCACCACTAGAGACAGCTTTCCACGTAGAGCAACAAAGTTAAGGAGGAAAATGTAAAGCACTTACCACCACGAAGTGAAGCCGAAAGATTTGCACAGGATGAAAGTGCGCGGGAGGTTCGTTCCGCATACCTGCATTGGTGTCGTTTACACGCACTCGCACCGATCCCAGCGGCCGAGCAGCGCTCTCCCACTCCTTGATGCGCTCGATCTGTTCCTTCTTGGCAGGATCATCGATGATGAAGATGAAGGTCGTAGCCACGCCTTCCGGAATGCGCAAGCTGCGGATTCCATTCAGCAGGGACACATCGCAGCGGAACGTGGGCACCACGACGTCCAGTAACAGGAGATGCGCCGCTGAAGCTGCAGGTGAAGAGAGAAGATGACATAGGCTTGCAAGAAACAAATACAGCAAATATGAGGAATCCTTCGGAGCAAGTCGTGGAAAAATGACGGAATCGCAAACCTTGGACAAAGTAAAATGTACCTCGTATCTCAAAAGAAGCGCATAAGTGGACGAGATCACGTGGGTAACAACAGACGTCGAGCTGACGGCCCGGAAGGATTTTAGAGGGTGACTACCGCCAGTCAGGGCATCATATTGGAGCAAAACATATGATCATTGTTTAAGTGTTTACTAATGCAAATTTTTATACGACGACGATTCGAAAACGGTAATCAGAATGTAAAGACAAGAGTTTTAAAATCCAGTAGCTTCACCTCTGTCCCGAGCTTTCTATCCTCAAGAACTATTCGTCCCGCGATTCTAAATTTCTCGCTTTAAATAAAGGAGACAATTGCTCCTTTAAGAAGTCATTAATTGGTACTTACCTTTCTCTGATCCGCACTTCCGGTCCAAGTACCCATCCAGAAGTTTCACGCCCTCGTGGAGCTCCTTGTTCTTCCAATTGAGAACCGGGTGCCGAGCGTAGCGGGGCGCGCTCTGACCGCCGACCGCGTTCTCAAGTACGACGTCCTCCAGAATGCGCGCGCAGCGCCACCTCTTGTAGATTTCGAAGAGCCACGGGTCTCCGTCTTGGTTCGTGAAAGCGTCCGGAACGATATTAACACCACCGAACGCGTCCATGTGCGTCCTACGGTCCGAGAGTGGTCAGAGGATGAGAACTTGGTTCCATTTCGAGTTTGCGACTCGGCAAGCTGGACCGGACCGCGACAACCCAACTCGAGGATCAATTGATCAAGCGTTCTGCAGCAGATGACTGTCAACCTGCGTTGTCTTTCGTAAATTTGAAACCACGACAGCAACAAAGGCGGAGGGCGGGTGCGGAGGTCCTGAAACATCGAGGACCTTGTAGCTGAGTGCCAAAGGTGGATCCTAGCAGAACCTTCCTGTCTAAATAAGAAAAACCCGGCGAAAAAACAAACAAGAGTCAAGTGCAACGGTCTGGAAATCAGATATCTAGAGTTACAAATAACTGGCGTTCAAAGCCTGCGCCCACCGACGGATAATGGAACAGGCTGGCAGATGTGACGGTCTCGCTCCTAATCAAGGCTTGAATCGTCCTGATAACACAATATTTCCCACCTGTGCATAATCGGGAAGGTCGGAAACCCGGGAAACGAGATGTCATTGAGTGCCACGCAGCCGAACCCGTAGACGCCCAACCTCTTTTCAAAATCGCCATAGGCCTCTTCCACATTCGACATCCAGCCAGCCGTGAGAATGTGGACGTCATCTCCGAGCAGCACGTAGTAGTCACAGCTGACGTCACGGTACGCGAGCGCGGCGAGGTCGCGCCAGATGTCGCATATTTGGCCGGGTTCCCTGTGGAGAAATCAACTATGCGCAGCTGAGGTCGGGATGACGTCAGAAAATTTCGGAACCGTGTACACACTGAGCTCGTCCGAGGCCTTGTATACTTTGTCCGACGCTGAACCGAACTTTCGTTAGTTACGGCGTTACTGCTACGGTCGCCCAGCATCTCAAGCTTTTGATGCACTAGCTTTGCAAATCCCTTTAAAGGGGACTTCCTTTGATACTTTGAAGATTGTAAGCCCTTACTGGATCAATCATTACCTGCCTACGAGATTGTATGCAAGAACTTGCTACGCTTTCCCTCTTTCTCGGTTGTTGCGGATGTTCCTTCACACATTCAGATTTATTTGAAAAAGAGAGGCAACTTCGAAATTCGACTCATCCTTCGATGCTTCTGCCCACGAAGATTGATTCTGCTTGAGCAAGTGGCCGCTAGCATCTCAGAAAAGTGCCCAGGTCCTTTGAAACCGCTGATGGACAGTGAACGGTGGAAGCGCTTTGTCTGTTTTGTATACTCACCGGGTTTTGATGTGCGCGCGCACCCGTAGCCCATGCTCCTCATATAGAAACATAATCTCGTTCAGGCTGTTTCCTTCTTCGTTTCCATCATATACAGGGTCTCCCTCGTCGATTCCAAGAAAGCAGATTACTCCAAAACCAGGGCCCGATCGCTCCAAGCTCCGTGCCAAGCATTCCATACGGGACACGCAGACGTCCCGCCCCCGACTGCCGAAAGGGCGGCTTGTTACTGGAACGAGAGCCGCGAGCGTCTTCATTGTCGTCGCAGCCATTTGCTAGGAGTGCATTCGGCGTCACTTCATTCCTTGCCAGATTCATCGACGGTAGGGAGCTTCTGATAGCGATCCAGGCCAGGAAAGCTGGACGCAAGAACCGCTGAAGAATCAAAGGAAGTACCGAGTGCGGGCCCTTTGAGGGCAGCGGGGTGTCTCAATCTGCTTTGGACTTGGCCAGTAGGAACCTACTGCCCCGCTTTTAAGTGCAAAGTGCCTCCTGTCTGCACGGTTTCACAGTTCCGGGAGCGTGTTCAGCAACGTCTTGAACCTGAATGTTGACAGCCTGTGCCCTCCGCTTGTTTTGGTAATGTACTTTCGTCAAGCTAAAAAGACTGGTCAAAGTGAGCGAAGCGTGACTGCTACGCTGCGCAGCCGTTGTGAAAGCCATACGGATTGGTCCGCCACTCAACGTGTCAATTCGGAAGTGCATCATGCACTTGAGTTGCGGCATGGCCCCAAAATCCTGGTCGCCGGGTGGTACTTACCATTGATCGTGCCGGAGTAACGCGAGGATATAAGCTCATGCAACTCTCAAGACGAGCTTCGTCAAAATAATGCCGTATACGCGGGCTGATCGCGGTGTGCGTCTTCATTGTTCCGCCGTACCCAAAGCTCTGCATGCTAGGCGCACTCAGTGGACCCAGATACAGGCCCATGCATTTCGTGCAGGTAAAACGTCGGACTTTGTTAACGCGAACAGTTGCGGGACGACCGCAGACATTTTCTTCTTACACCATCAGTAAGCCCCATACCGTACAGTGCACCACACACATGTTTTTCGGATCGATGCAGTCGATAATTTGGCAGGCAAACCTAGCATTGCACGTGAGCCACAGTACGCCATGTCATGATCGCAAACTTGAATGTTACAGCCCAGTTGGGTAGCCTCCTAAGCCTTGATCTGGCGGCATAAACTTATGTGCCACTGTGCCCAGGCCCACATGCCCAGCAAATGTAGCAATAGATGATGCATGCACTCCACAAACTCAAACGAAACGCGGACAACAAAGGCACATCGCAGAACGGACCACTGCCCGGGACCAAAACCAATAGCCGGTGCGTCCGCAGTCGACATACATTCTTTGGCAGACGGAATTCGCGTTGCTACGTCGGTCGTCTTCTTGCAATTCGAGTCAAAATTCCGTGTCCGGCAAATACTGCCAGACTTGAGTCCGAGGCCGGCTTCAAGTTTTGCTTTCCCTTCCGAGACCCAGCCCCGACCTCAGGTTCGGTTTACATTCTCTTAAGTGACACTATTGTCTTTTCTTACTAACCGCTTCGACTCTGTGTCAGCATACCCTATCGCCTGCTCTTCCGCTTATACTAACACCGTCAATTATAGCAGCCCTGGGGAGCTTCCCCGCAAGCACGCTGACGACGGCGTCAGGAACAGCTGCGTATTTGACAGAAAATGCCACCCGTCTTTGTGGTTTTCTGACGGAGTCCCATTTGTATACGTAAACTGCGGGGCAGGGAGGCCGCCTTCTAAATTATAATAGGGGACCGCATATGCGTATATTTGCTGCACTTCGATGACGTCTTCGCAGGGGTTGCCGAGCCAGACTGTGGAGCAGCAGCCCATATCGTATAAGATGGGGATGACCGCGTCTTGTACGTGGATCCCGGGGGCGAAGCGCCGCACCTGGGAAAAGAAGAGAACACGAACATCCGAATAAGACTCGGTCTGGGGAATTTGAGATTGCGTTAGCTTATGCGGGAAGCGGAAACGAGAACTTAGTAAGTATGCAGCTTCTCGTCACAACCGTGACTTCATCTTGCCTAGAGAATGTCAAAATCGAAGTGAGAAAATGTCTTGTCTCCTCGTTGCACAAGCCCAGAAAACTGACAGGCGAGGGCCGTCAGCAGGACCGAAGGCTTCAAATTGAGGGGGCTCCGACAAGATTGAGTCGCAGATAGGACCGCGAATCCGCTCTTGAGGTGGGGCAACGCTATTACTAGGCATTAGATATGGACTTCTCACCGGAGAGGTCAACAGGTGGATGAAACAAAAGCCGTTTTTCCTTTGGACGACAGTATTACTGAAGGTCTCTCCCGCAAGACCTTGAAGCACAGTACCAAAACACTTGCGCAGGCTTTTGCCGCGCTCCCGCTCAACAAGGGATCCAAGCAACTCTCGGCATAGCCAAGCGTTCAGATTTTGAATCACTCCATACCGCACGCTCTAAACTCATTACAGTCTCGCAAAAGACGGAGTGCCGGTTTGAGAACGTCTGTTTCATACGGCCTTCCCATCGGAATTCTAAAAACATATGAGTGAACTTCCTCAACTTCAACCCACGTTAACTGCAAAAAAGCAAAAACATCTCACCTCGACCCCCATGCTTTCTAGTTTCTGCAGCTGCGGACTAGTTTTGTTGTGCCAGAGCGCTAGTATTAGGGGCGCGTTGGCCGTATTCCACACCGGATGGTTCGTCACCTCGTCCGTCAGCCACGCCAGGCTGTCGTCAGCCCCCCACGACTTGCCGACCACCTGGAATGCGATGATGACGTCAGGCACTTAGGATTGACGCGGTCGATTGAGAGAACACGGAGACAATTAATGATCCAGACTTCGTCCCCATCAACTTGGCAGTCCGAGTACAACATGTACTGCTGGCCGGTGAGCCTACTGAGTAAGCGGAGGGCAACATCAAACTCAAATCTGGCGGCACTCGACCGTTTCGTAAGAAAGCTTAAAGAGCTCCGCTCGCTCTCAAGACGCTGCCGGTAGATCGTCTCGCTCTGCAAATACGCTTCAAGTTCAAATCCAGACACCGACACTGTCAGCTCATTGAATACCCTATCCTAAGACCCCCCCAAAACACCCCCATCTCCAAACCTAAGATACCCAAAACCCTAGGTTGCCGATTCTCGACACTCACAATCAATCTGACAGTGCCCAACTCCAAAAAGTCCCTTGCGAGCACTTACCACTTGAACTGGCTGGTTGGTGCCCTCGATCTTCACACTTTACTTACAAATCTTCACTACAGCCCTTAAATTCTATAATTGTTAGCTCTTAACCCTGGACACCTAGGCTCGCCAACAAAAAACTTCCTTGCGAGCACTCACCACCCCGCACGGGCTGGTTGGTCCCCTCGATCATCCACTTCAAACCCTACAACCCCAAAATCTCTAAAGCCCTTATCCTAGAACTTTGAAGCCCTTCCGCCAAGAAACCAAGACTACGAACCCACAAAAGTCCCTCGCGCGCACTCACCACGCGCACGGGCTGGTTGGTCCCCTCGATCATGCACTGCAGGTCCCAGCCCGAGAGCGGCAGGCTCTTCCAGCTGACGATCGTCGCGTCGTAGTCCGCCAGGAACATGTGCAGGTGCTCTCGCGTCGCGCTGTCCACCATCTCCGCATGCGACCGCCCGTTCAGCGACAGCGCGTACCTGCGGGGTGAGGGGATGGCGTCAACGCTGACGTCAGCAGATATTGAGACTTCGTGAACATGTGCAGGTCCTTTTACACGCTATCCACCATCTCCGCGTGCGACCGCCCGTTTAGCAACAGCATAATGCGGGAAAAGGAGATGACGTCAGCGATGTTGAGACGTCGTAATTATGCAGTGCTCTCGCGTTGCGCTGTCACCTCCTCAATGTGCGACCGCCCGTTCAGCGACAGCCCATACCTGCGGGGACGGGTCCAGTGCTGATATCAGCGCTGACGTCAGCCAACTTTACGAGTACGAGTGCCACCCCCATCGCCTCGGTTTGAGAGTCAACTCTGAAAGCGTTACTCGGCTCCAATGCGGAAGGAGGCGCGAGACTGGGAAAAAGGCGGGGAGCGAAGGCGACCCCAGGCGGAAAAGTTTTTCCGGAAGCATCTAAGCGAAGCAAACGCAAAGAGATGCGATTGCGTTGGATTAGACTGAACAGTTGGCGTCTTGCAAACCACGCAGACAATCCGACGCGTTTGTCGAGGCACGGATAAGTTCAGGGATGATTTCTCAACGACTCGTCGACACTCTTTCATTACGTCTGTCTCGGATCTTTGTGTCCTTGTCTAGTCAAAAGCAGCAGGCCTGAAACGACGGTCGCACCAGAGCATTCGGAATAGCATTTTGTAGGTCCCGCCAAAGGAACGAATGTTGCTCGGCTTTCCCGCTGAATGATTAGCGCATCATACAGTCTGACCAAATATGGTTTAAGATTCCGTGTGAAGTCGATTTGAAAGCTGAGGATCGACTGACATACCTGAGCATCTGGTACGGCTTCTTGTACTTCGTCCTGTAGAAGAAGGGGATGTTGAGCTCCTTGCATGCGTAGTTTTCCACTCCCACCAGCACTTCGATGCCTTCCTCTCGTAGCCGTTCGATGCCTTTACCCCCCACCAACGGGTTCTGGTCCACGCACCCCACGACGACCTGGATTGAAAAGCATGTTCAATCAGTAATCCGTGTAACTTGTTTTTGCGTTGTCGTTCCCTTGCCTTTCCGTCCCCACCTCGTCCCCTGACTTTCGTTCTCCAATTGCTATATTTTGGCCGCAACCAGCGGGTTCTGGTCCACACACCCTACCACGACCTGGAACACGTAAAAGGTTACGTTGCTTTACAGTAGCTCACTCTCCGCCCAACGGGAAGATTTGGTTTTAGGGGTTTAGGGTGGGTACAAATCTGAAGCATGTATAAGTCCAAGTTCTAGGTTTGAACTCTGTGTAAGCCCGGCAAACGGATGCAACTCAACGTAGGCCTCATTCGATGGAAAATCAAACTTGTCGACCTGGATCGCAATATGCTTTCACTTACAAATCGTGCAAGTGATGCATGTTGTCGTTGTCCAGGCTTTTCAATCTCAATTCATTGCGTGACCTTCTCGCTTTCCTTCCGCTTCACCATGGAGTTCGTTTCTTCAAACTGCTACTTTCTTGACTCCTGGTACTCCGTACCTTATCTCACGCTTTTTTATTCGCAATCACTGTTCAAATTTCAAGCACCGAGGACGTGGATTGACCTGTCGTTCTCACGTCGCAGCGTTTACGCTGCCTTCTTTTGACTCTCGTCCCTGCTCGACTCAAATCAATTAGTTGAAGCAGCCAAAAGGCTCCTTTACACAGAGCCGTCGAAGTTGTGCGCCCCAAACGAACGGAGACACACAAACGGAAGCTGTTCCTATCGATACCTAAACCTAACGCTCACCTTTTTCACTTTGGCTCGTATGAGCGCTTCCGTACATGGAGGCGTCCGGCCGTAGTGATTGCATGGCTCGAGGGTGACGTAAGCAGTGGCCCCCTGGGCTTCGGAGCGGGCGTCTGCCAGCGCAAAGACCTCCGCATGAGGCTCTCCCGCTTTTGGATGCCAGCCCTCACCCACCACCTGGAAAAGAAATTGTTCATCAATTCTCAAATCGGGTCGAGCTATAAGTTTGTTCTCTTAGGCATTCTTGTCCCGGTTTTTAGAGACCTTGGTAATTACAACTTACATAGCTGTTTTTCTCTTCAGCCTCTCCATTGCTCGTCGTACCGACCGAGTTCACCCTTGCACCTTACTAAGATCGAAACAACTTCGACTCAGCACAGGATTCGCCAAACAGATGATATGCCGGGCCAAAATTGAGCAGTCAGATAAAGAAGACTAGGTGCTCTCAGGTTCTGCGACCTCAAGCGGTTCCACTTTGGGCCACTGTAAGAAGCTCCAAGGCGCAACACCATGATTAGCATCAAACAAGCTTCCTCCAACTTTCAAACCGGTTTCCTCGATAGATTTCCAAGCAAACCTATTATCCCCCTGATTGTCCTTAATTTATTTTTCTCCAAACCACGTAAGCTGTTCCTAATGGTTGTCCAGACAATTGCCTTCGTGTCTGACAAAATAAATATTGCGTTCACAATGGATAGCGCGAATGGAGCTGAAGCGCCAGCTCAGGTTCTCACCGTTCCGTTTTTTACTATAACGCACCCAACCATTGGGTTTGGGGACGTGTACCCACGGGCCATGACCGCCAGCCGTAACGCCCTCCGCATGTATCTTATGTCTGTGTCCTTAGTACCTGTATTTAGTGATCAGACGGGGAATTTAAGTAGTGGCAGTGGAACATCTGTGAACTAGACCCGGACCTTCGCCTTTCAATTCCAACAAACACACCCATCTGTCTGCGCGTCGATGTTAAAGATCAGAAGCTAGTCATTTGAGGAGGCGGGCTTGTCCCGCATCTCTCTGGCTGTGCGCTCAAAACGGTAGTGTGGAGAGCCAATATGCATTGCCATGCACGAAAGGACTTGACAAGGACTGACCCCCGGGGGGGGAACCGATAGCTTATGGCGACATGAAAATACTGTGCTCAGGAAGGCACTCTTGAAGACTGATGGGGTCTGCTTGCAAGATTTGATGCAGAATAGGAATCGCAGAAAATTTCAGGTGAAAACCTGCCTGCAATGCTTCATGACCATGGGCCAACGCTGACCTCACTCAAGTTTAAACATGACTTTAGCTAGGCTATGTGTGATGTTTCAAGGTTGAAAGAAAGAAGCAAGAAGGTATCTGTGATTCAGATATCTGAGGGCGTAGTGGTGGTGGTGGTAAATTCTTCAAAGCACAGGCAAAGAGTGACAGGTATAAGGACCCAACTGACTGGAGCAGGACTTTTCAAGTAGAAATATTAGAGAACGAAACACGAGCCAGTGCAAGCACGAGCAAAGCACAGAAGGCTCGATTGGAATCTCTACAGAATTGCAAACCATAAGATGCTGGCAAACTCATGCTCACCAAATTTTGAGATAGTCGCATACCGCTTTTTTTCAAAAGTGGCTACTTTCTCTTTCTAATCCTCCCTGAACTTGACTCTTCGCAAACGTCATCTAGCGCTGACTGTGGCACTCCACCATTTGTCTTCTTTTCAAAACGCTACACAATTGATTGATCGAACCAACATCGCCAAAGCAACAAACTAAACATCAGAAATGAAACAAAAGATTCATACCTGGGGGCTGTATGGCTCTCATCTCATCCGTGATTTCGTCCATGTCTCGAGGAATCTCTGGCAGGCTATCTATCCCCGTCTGAATACCCCCATCGTCCACTTCTTTGGTCTCTTTCTTGTTTGCGTCAAACAGCTCGCTCGCATTTAGTCCATCAAAGTCAGTGCTTGCCCTTACCACCAGCCTCCGCCCTTTCTTTGCATATAATCTTTGTCTGGTTGCGGGTTGAGCTTTTTGACAGAGAAGGGGGTTATAGGAGGGATGAGAGTTAGAAGAAGTGGTTCTAGTGCCACAATTTCGAGCTGTTGGGAAGCAAGGGAATTTCTCTGAACTAGTCACGCCACACGTCTGGTTGGCATTGCACCTTGTGAGCTTTGTTAGTGGTGATGAAAGGGAGGAGGAGCTCAATTGCTGAGACGCAAGTCTAGCCATGGCTTCTCCGACTTTCTGAGAGCCCCAAGTCACCCTCCCTTTGACAGAGTGTTCCTCTTGTCCTGTGGCCAGTGTTGGCTTTCAATGTTCATCAAAACTTCATAGCTGTGGAGTCAGCCTCAAAGCACAACGCAAGGCTGCAGTTTGGCCCGGGTGCCAACGCCAATGGCAATGGTTCCGCTCTAGTTACATCCAGCAGAAGTGTACCGGACAGCTAGAACGTGTATAGAATGCGGCCCTTGCTGTCAAGAAGAATCGCACAAGAGTGTGCCAATTCTCTTTCAGGACCCTCGACACGACCTGTTTTGGCGGGAAGGATATGAATGCCTGACAGAAACTTGCGAATGCAATATGATTCTGAATGATGAAGGGCCTTTCTACTCTTTCTACCTTTATATAAGCCTAGATACTGAACATAAGTCAGCAACGTCCTGTCAGCCGCGGTCAAATCAGTCTTTGAGGTGAGGATCAAGAGCTGGTACGCACTCAAGATGGACACGACAGAGCCCACTCCGTTGGTGAACTCTGCATTGTTGAGGCGATATCAAGGGAGGCGCGTGCGGTCGGTTCTGAAAATTGTTGGGAGGTGAGTTCCGCGACGCCACTTTGCTTGCATTAGATCTCAAACGGAGCAATTGGCTATGTGGGTTTTCCCCTCGAGATAGCACTTTTGGGGCTCCCAAAAAAACAAAGAAAGACGAGGAAAGCTTTGATAGCATAACGTTATTAGTTGACGAGGGCTACTACTATCAAGAGTGAACAGCTCAGATGGGGCAGCAAATCCTGTAGCTTTTGGATCAACTTGTCCAAAGTGAACACACGCTCCCTACGATCAGCTCGTCTGAGAGTCCCACCCTAGAATGCAAACGCTTTGCTGCTCTTGAAAGATAGGAGGGCCTAGATGTTTTGGGCCAATTAGATTTGCATGTTTTTCCCTCTGGCAGCATAACCTTTGGCCTTACTGATGTTCGTCCGCCAGGAACAACAATCAAATGTGAAGGATTTGTTTTAGATTCGGGAAAAATTTCAAGATAGCTTTTGGCTCTCCAGGAGCCAATCGGAAGGGTGTATGTGCACGTAATATTCCCGTGCACCTTAGTTCACCCGTTGCATCGATCAGCAAGGGTCGCTTATGAAGAGCTCTGCCTCAGAATTGTCAGATTGTGACCAACTACTGCACAAGAGCACTCTGTCGAGTGGACCAACCTCCTTCCAGAACCAGGTCACCTGCCATTGTATCGCTGTTACACCCGCTGGGCTTTTGAGTCTGAGCACCGCCCGGCTTACTGGACCGCTTGATGCATCTGTCCTGAACCAGCTTGCCAATCATATTCAGTCCGACTATTCTGTGTCACATCCGATGCTTTGATATTTGTCTTCTTTTCGTGATTTGGACACTCAGCATTTCTTTGAAACTGTCTTAAAAAATGTAGGACGAACGACGGCATCCAGTGCTTGGCGGCTGACAACGGCACCGTCCTAGTGAGGCCTTCTCCCGGGGCACAGTATGCGTCACCGTTCGTGGAAGTCATTGGGGTCGTCGAGAACGAGACCACAATCCGGGAAGACTCATATACGAACTTTGGTGAAAACTTTGGTGAGCGTATACTAAATGATCCTCTCTTCCAAAACTCTAGAGAGTTGTTGCTTGCTTTTGTGAGACACTTGCTCCGGAAGAGCTGCCAATAAGCAGCGGCAGACCGAGGAACATCCGAACTGTCTTGCCCATGTCCTGATACCATCTCCTGTCCCGATTTTTAAAGCAAGGTTGAAGCAGCTTTTTGCGGACTGTTGCACTGAAAGGTGCTTGTACCTGTCTGTTGCACGGGACTTGTAATAGCAGACCTAAGCGAGGTGTTAACTCCTAGACTTGTCTTCTATGCAGATATGGGAACGTACAATCAACTCGTAAACTTGTCCAATGGGGAGCACTCACATTTGTTCATATAGTCGCACTAGGCTTGATGTTGGATCGATGACATTCGAGTTTGTACATTAGTTGATTGAGCTCTTTGTTTTGATGCGATCATAAATAACGTGCTGCCACCACTAGATGGTATACAGTGAAAAGGATCGGGTTCTTGCCTTTGAGAATACTGGAGACCTGAAGGGAGTGACTGGTACCTAACCCGTTTTCAGCCACGTGTGGCAAGATTGCGCATGCACGAGTTGCCAGAAATCATCTCTGTCGCCCTCCTTACCTGCCCAGATTAGATCGACGGCATAGGCAACGACTCAGCCAATAGAGCAATTCAGCATGACCGAACATGCTGTAATGCGGCCAAGCACGCTTCACTCTAATTTCAAGCTGTCAATCTGATCCTTTTTTGCACCAGTAACAATTTCGTCCCTTAAGCGTCTAGCCTCGGTGGCATACAGCACGAGCATTCCACATTGCACTTGGATGGATGGACAGCCGATTCTTGTATAAGAAGCTTAGCAACTCGAAGTTCTTGACACTAGACACCGTCACGTGCATCCATGACACAGCGATCTCGCTGAAAGGCAGGCCGTGCATCGTGGGCCCCAACGTGCGCCGTGTGGCCGAACACGTAATCGAACAAATTAATGGTACGGCTGTCACGGTTTCTTCATAGGTAATTCTTCATGTAATGGTGACCACAAAGCGTCACACAAAATTCGGCAGTCCAGATGCGTCCACCGGGACGTACCAGTGCAGCGGAAGCGCAGAAACGTGCTGCAGTCAACTTAGATAATGTCAGTACTAGAAGTTGATTCCCAGAACCCTTTGCAACTTTTATAATCTTTCCCATACTTGCTTGATCTATGCTCAACTACTAGAGCTGCCAGCAGTCAATTACACGTTGAATCGTTCTTACACAAACGATTATACACTACAACATCTTCCGTCTTATTTGCGTCACGCGTCTGGACAATCTGACGCCAACGCAACAACCCGAAACGACTGTATTTACCTTGACGAACTTTCATAAACTTATTTGTCGAAGGTGCTGATACTTAGCGCTAGAGGACATACTTCGAACCAGTGCCATGCCTCCCGCCAATCCGGCCTCTTTCCATCGACTGTACAATACCTATTGAAAAACAATGCGGGCTTACGAAATCTGAATCCCTTAATGATCCCAACAAAGCCCGCGACGCAACCCGCAACCCTGAGGTAGTCATCATCCTAGGCCCCAGAACCCCATACGCAGGAGCAACCCCTACTTCCACCGTCTTCTTTGATATAATGTCTGATGTCGTACACATTTTCGTACGTAGTATTTCCGGGGGACCCAGACTTAGCTGGTCCCTACCCTCCTTCCTCCGACTCGTCAGGCTGCCCCCCCCAAGCCCATGACGTCAGCCCAAATCTGTCGTGCAGCAGCGCGTCCTTCTTTCTCTTTTCAAGAGTGTGAGACGTCGGGCGGGCAACTAGAACGGGACACCCTGCGTGTTTAACCACGTAGTCGCAGGTGGAGCCTAATAACGCCCTGGTGGTTAGAAGGCCAGGGTTAGTCTCGGCCCGTTGAGTCTCTGAAGACTCTTTCAGGGGTCAGATGGAGTTAGCAAGACGTCATACGGGATTGAAACGAGCTGCATGACAGGTTTCGAAACAGAAGTTGCGCTCAACTACTGGTAGGAAACTATCGACTCGGTCTAGAATGTTATCGGAGGGTTATTCGTGTTCCATCTAATAATTGGAGCGTCACAGAGAGGACCGGGCACCCTGCAACGGCGCAACATTGATAACAAATTGCGACAAGAGTCGACTTGTTCGTCCGAAAGAAGCGGTGGCAGCTAGTCAGGATTGATGGGGGCAGAAGGGGGGGCCTTCCCTCAAATCACGAAGGGGATCAAACAAGAAAAAAGAAAAACACTCGGTCACTGGCCCTATTCGACAAGAAAGACTGGGCATATGCTCGGCGTCATTGTGAACGGATTCTGCCGTAGTTGCGTTTGAAACGCATCAAAGGAATCGCTTGAAATCGCGAAAGTTCTGGGGGACACCACATCCTGACGCTTGAAGCTCCTTCACACCAGACGGTACTAGTCAGACATCTTGCCGGTATGGGCCAAAGGAACAACGGAAGAAAGCCAGAAAGATGAAAGAAGCAAGAAAGAGAACAACACGAACAGATGTGAAACGGCGACAACAAACGCGGTCCAAGCTCACCTGTTTAGGATCGTCGAGGGACCCCTGCTCGCCACCACCAAAACGTCCGGCTCGTATGCCGCCACAAAAGTACATATCACCTCCCGGGGGTCGCCTTCCTCGATAAGAGTGTCACATTGGACCTGGAGAAGCGGTGGAAGAACTTTGACACCAGCAGAAGCTTGGCGACCCGTCCAGCAGAACTTGACTTGATTGGTCGCCAGACAGGGCCAAAGAACGTGCCAGTGAAAGGTCTTAGCCAAATGGGTATGTGCCCGCATCCGAACTTTCAACGGACATCTTAAGAAAGGTCCGTGTTGCGTGCGGATACAACAGCTACGATGGTCCATAGGATATGTAGGAGCGGGTGTAATTGCACAAGCTGCCAGAACGGACTGAAAGACACTCTGCAAGATCTATCCGGACGCTTTAAAACTATCGGCAACCAGATTCGAAGCATTGCAGACAAGAACTTTGCCGACTGAGTGGCTCACTAAGCTGTAGCTGCTGAAAGCTTAAGAGTTGACGGCAATCTGGATCAAAAGCTGCAGCATTCAGACATCAGCGAAAGAGGTCTGGGGATTATGAAACATATCAAGGGTAACGAAGCGACGGCGATCACAGTGTGCAGAAGACGTAGAGATAGAAGAGGAAGCCACCGGCCAAACGCATACCTGCAGCAGTTTCTACGTACTCCAGAATACCCACGACTGACTTCTTGGAAACAACGTACGACCCGAAACAGGAAAGTCCGAAAGAAGGGTCGGAAATTCCGAAAGCATAGGATGGCAACCCAGAAGATGAAATATTTCGAGATCTGGAGCTGAGTATCTTGAGATTTGAAGGGAAGCGAAGGAAGAAACTGGCTCCTGACCTTCGCCTGGTCGGCAAGCTTTTTGCACTTTTCCACGAGCGCCCGGGCTTCCCGCTCTTCTTTCTGCGCCAGGTCATCCAGCATGTGGCAGGCGGTCGGACTCTTGTGGAACATGAAGTCCATCTCGTAAATGTGCGGCTCTGCACAAGGAAAGGTTTCAGAGTGGTTTGACGACTATGATCTGATTCGCCAAGAAGTGCCGAGCATCCTTCCGTCATTGGATCTAGTGCTGCAAGCGCCATGAACATAGTACTGTAATTCTGTTCTGTCGATGTGAAGTGCTGCAAACCACAGGCTTTGTTCTGTAAGACACTCAACTCCGGACATTATTTTGTGAGCAAGTATGTCATCCAGCTTAAGCTAGACAATCATCAGGCCAACCGCGAACTAGGCCAAACCTGACATTGGAAAATTGGACTGAGTGTCCAACACAGCAAGAAAGTCTTGCATTTTCCCTGAACTATGTCCAGGCCCGGTTACTCCATCTGCGAATGCTAACGCGAGGATTTGATGGTAGGAGTCTGAAATTGACATCATATGGCCATATTGAGATTGTTTTTAATACAAATCTTAGAGGGCCTCCGATCAGAACAGATTGGGGGTTCGAGATCCAGTAACAATCAGACCCCCCAGCTAAATTTGAAAGCCACTGCACAGCATAACAGATTCTGCTCCATGGGCCTCTCTCACTTGGTTCAAACACCATCTCTCCTGATGGGGCGTAAGACTCTCCTTCAAAACATGACGCTATGCTTTTCTTATGACTCATCAATGTGGCTGCCTCTTGTCTTTGAGGCGTACCCCTTTCTCCTGGAAGTTGGACTCCTAGTAGTGCTGCCAGATGTGATGGTCAAACATTCACCGTCGGAAAGGTTCCGCATGCACAATGCCATGATTTACTGGGCAGTGAGAAACTGGCCGCAGACTTTGTGCAGCCCCTTTCCACCGGTTTACCACTATTTATTTGAATACAGCATGTCGACTCCACTTGCATGCATAAGAAGCAGCTGGAAAGGAGGGGCGCACGGATGATGCCATAAATGAGAGGTGGAAAGACCTTTTTTTAGAACGCATCAATGTCTGTTCCTTTGAATTGTAGAAATGCTGTTAATCACTCGCTAAATATCCCCTTTCACTCATCATCTGGCTGGTCCCCCTGGCGTCATTATTTCATAGGGCGGCTCCTAGAGGGGACTAACCGAGCGGACTGACAGTGACAGGGCAAAGAAAGGAAGCTCATCTCCTAGCCTCTCCTAGCCAGAAAGAATTGACAGGGTAATAAGGAGAGTTTAAAAGAACCGGCAAAAAATGGGGGGGGAACTCTTGTAAGAACTGAACAAATCTCAGGAAGCATCGGAGATCTGACCTTCTAAGGGACAGGTGGCATGGAGGACCACCAGCTTGTCCCCCTTTCGGCACACCTTCTCAAGTGCCCACTTCAGAGCGTCCACCGACTCGTCTGAACGGTCCACTGCAATTGCGATGCGCCGCCCCGGGCTCTCCTCCACCTCGGTGGACATTGCGCCTGCCTTTAAGGTGCTCTAACCCCTAGAGTATCAAACTCTGCTTTGAACCAGAACTCAGCAGTAGGGATCTGTTGCTAGCGCTGCCCTTGCAAATGTGATTCTTGTGAGAGCACGTCCAGCTTCTGCCAAGTTCTGGGGCCAGGGCCTGGGAAAGGGGCCTGCCGCCGCGTCCTACTATTTAAATATTCGTTGCTAAAATTGTTCAGATTTGATTCATGGTTCCCTCGTTTCAACTTGGATAACCGTGACGACAGGCTGATGAAACGGCAGGCTCGAGCTTACGGCAAGCTCGACAATAAATTCTGAATCGACCGTCGACGGCGAAGAACCGGCGAGAAGTCGGCCCATTTTTTGGTTTCAGCATTGTTTGTGTAAACACGGACACTTCAAAATCGGTTTTATCCAAAAGACAATATGATTTCAAAGAGTCCAGACTCCACGAGTCCACCACCACTGAAGAAGATTCGATTTCAAAGAGAATGAATGGGAAGAAGAGGAGCGCAATTGAGGAGCAGTTCCTTCATTGCTAACTGCTGGAAACAGGGATCCCGAGGAATTTGCAAGCTCTATGCGGCAAGTGCTTGAGACAGATTGTTCTAGTGTTAGCGGAGGAAAGATCGTCAGGAGGTCTTCGTCAGCATTTTGCAGAAGGCACGCAACTTAAATACTTACGAAGTGCAGTTCAAGCCTCGTTGCCTATCCCCTCCCCTGTATTTCGATAGTCCGAAAGTAGCTGATTCGCGTTGGAGAAAGGGTGGTCACGAGCAACTAACAGCTGGCGGTCATGCCGTGGCGCCGGCGCCCCCTGCTGACAGCTGTCGCTCTACTGAGCACCAACGCATTCTTGGTGTGCACAGTCGAGCCAGTGTACAACTTTGTGTGCAATCACCCTGCGTGGGAGAGACGGGTGAGCAGGAAAAGCTCTCAGCTCTGTTTCCTGCAATAAGAAACATCTGTTTCTAGGATCAAATGCATAGGGGTTCTCTTGACCAACGCCGCAAGCGGTGTGGGCGTACAAAGATTCGGATGTCTGCTACTTCTCGTCATCACCGGTGCTTTTGCTAGGATCTAAAGCGAGTGTCAATCACAGGATGACCTTTCGCTGATTCTTGCACCGTAAGGCCAGGGCAACACGGTTCATTCTTTCAGAGCGTTTCAAAAAACTTGGATGACGCACTTCAGAGAAGCCAACAGCTGAACAAGGTCTCTGTGCAAGCTGCCTTCAGTTTCAATATTCAACATACAAATTCAACTGTAGAGATTTGTCCTCTCAGACTTCGAATGAGTGTCAGCGTTGCATCATTCTGGTTACAATAGCAATATGCTTGGACCCTTCTTCAGAAATGTAACACTCAGGTGAACTGATATCGTGTTATTGTTCGTCCTTGCAGCGTGTGCGGCGGCAGGCTGAGAAGGAACGGGAAGAGCTGATGCGCCGCATGCTGCAAGAGCGCCTCTCTCAGCAACAGCAGCAGCGGCAGCAGTCCTCTTGACCTCGGACTCTTTGAGTAACTAGGCTGGGCAGACGATCACCCAAATCCAATTTTCAACTTCGACCAGCTGGCAACCTGCAACACAAAGCAATCCCTCTGGAGGACCCGCCTGCCCGGGCTCAGTTCCCCCTTCTGGCCGTCATAAACTAACCCTTTGCAAGCCTGTGATCAATGACCCCCCTTTTCAGCACTAGATATTGAATCCTCGGTCTCGAGCGGGCATGGGCATAAGGGCTCGCATCTACTTCGTGCGCAACGTCTGGAGGAAAGTCGCCGATTACGTCCGGTACGACCTGAGGGAGATCATTGTTCCTTCGTCGCTTCCAGATCCCCCGGGGACGGTGATTGAGAAGAAGAAGATTCCGCTAAACACGCATCTACAGGTGGGTCCCTGAAGTCAACAACTGAACCGCTCTGACTCAGAATGCCATCTCGGAAATAAGAGTGAAGTAGTGCTCGTGGCCAGCAGAGTTGACGCTTGACTTCTGGTCAGAGATCGCTTTGCGGGTACTTGTGCGCTCACCACGGAATGTCTTGACGTAGGACTCGATAACATCAAGGGCTTCTTATTATGTGGGCCGATTGCCTTTGTCAACCGCACCGTCAACTCATCCCTGAGAAGCCGTTCATTCGTTGGCGCACTGTTTGGTCCTTCTGCCATCCTGCTGACCGTTAGCATCTTGTTACGTTCCTGCTAGTGTCTCATTCAGAGTGAGCCCAGAACACCTTGTATCTCTGCATCGAGTGCGTCTACCCTTCTTCCTCCACCGGTCCTCCCCGTTCTCAAGAAACAAAGCGCAGGTTGAGAAATAAAACACGACATAAGTCGCCTCAGACTGGGAACACCTGTGCAATCTCTTCAGTCCTCGTTTAGGCGACAGTGTGCGGTGCTGAGGCCATGCTTGTTTGAACCCGAATGTGTCAGATACGAAAACCTTGCTTGCAAGGTTCTGGGAACATGTTGCACCCCTGACGTTGGCAGCTTCTTTGTTTCGTTTGACCCGTTTTGTACTGATTTTCAAGCTTCTTTCTTCCATACGGAGACACGCATCCGAACTGATGAAATCCTGCTTTCAACAAGCGACAGCGGACAAGAGAAAGAATCACAAACGTTTTCCCTCACCCCCGCAGGTTTGGAAGCGGGCATGCTTTGGCGCAGCTGGACAATTTCCCCCTGTTTGTGTACTCAAGCAGAATACGATCTTGAGCCTCTCCTTATCGGCTCACAAAACCCATAAGTAAAATCAATATGTTCGTAGAACGCCTTCGGTGTTGTAGGTATGGAAGCGGGCATGCATCATCTACGGCCGCAGTTGGAAGATGTCCATGGGACTCATACAGCGCGACGAGGTCTGGGGCCCGAAGCCGAAATCGGAGCGGCCCAACGAGGGCGAGAAACAGGAGCCACGGGAGCCCACCTTTGCTGAGGAGCTGGGTAAGAACATCCTCTGTGCATTTCTTCCGTCGCGTTTTGACCAAGTCTCTTCTGAGTCCGACCTTCCCAAGCAGGCTGTCACAGAAAATGTTCCGGCTCTCGTACGAGAGTCTCCCGTGTTGTTGATGCAGAATGTAGTCGACGAGAAAAGTGGACTTGTTTTGCTGCGGCGTTCTTCGAGGAGCGGTTTGGCCTTCGTTTCATTTGAAATGAGTTCGATGACCTCGAAGCGGTCCTTTCTAGCCGACAGACCAACGCAGACTTTTTGCTTTGTTGGAAGGCTGTCAGGAACGTCAAAAATCTGTCCAGCAGTCCATTCACATCTGCCGTACCTGTATTGCGGCAAAGTCCTTCAAAACTTGACGTTTTTCCTTGAGCGAAATTTAACACAATGAATTGAGACAGTTCCACCCTGAAACGAAGGTTCGTAAGTGTTCCCCTCTTTTAGTATACCCCTTCTGTGTTCTTTTCCTTTCCAATCTTCCGTCTTCATTTCCCATGGTGCATTCGTCGTCTCCGACTCTATAAACTCACCCGTATAACGCCGACTTAGAATCGTGCAGATCTCAGACATCCTCAATCAGGAATCTCTCTTCACGTACTCTTCTCCCTCCGTCTCCTCTTTACCCTGCACCCCACGTTCGCTATCACAGACCCTGTGACAAAATCCCCTTCCCTCCGGTTTCCAAACTGAGACTTGCGTCTGATTTCGAACTGAGTTCCCCACCTATTGCCGTCAAAGTGAGCCCCTCCCTCACAGGAAGCTTTCGCCCTATGCCATGACTGGTTTATGGTCATCGAACCAGGCTTGAACCCGGCGTTCTCTTCGTGGAAGGGCAGTTAACCCGCTTAACCAACTACGAACCAAACTTGGTTAACACTGCTCTCTCCCTGTGCTTGTACAGCCGCTGCGGCTAAGGCCGGGGGCGAGGGCATGCGCCCCGTGCTGCAAACCCTTCTGCAAACTCGGGTTTCTCTTGGTAGAAGGGCACTTAACCTGCTTAACCAACCACAAACTAGACTCTCCGTTACTCTCTTCCTGTCTTGTGCAGCCGCTGCGGCTAAGGCCGGCGGCGAGGGCATGCGCCCCGTGCTGCAAAGGCTGTACGTGAGCCGCGCCAGGGGGTACCGGGATGCGTTGCAGAGCTTCGTGGGGGGGTACCAGGAGGGGCTGAAAGAGGCCATGGAAAGGGCGGCAAAAGAGGACGCGGTGTGGAAGACGGAAGCGGAGGGGGGGAGGGCGGAAACAGGCGGAAGCGAGGGGACGAAGACGGCAAACGGAGGACAAGTCGGCGTAGATGTTGACGCAAGGATGAAAGCCTGAACAGTAGGGCTACAGTGACGGCTGCGGGATCGTCGTTAATCGTTTTGGGAGCGCTTGCGCGTACTAGGGAGTTCTGGGCGACGATTGAAATGTTGCGTGCTAAGAGAGTAAAACCGACTGCGGAAGGCAATTGTCCCACCCGCCCTTAGCTTCGTTTGCCCACTTTCTGCTAGCTGCATGTGCAGTGAGTAGGATAAAAGGAACGGTGAGTCGAGGAGCAAAGCACGACTGATCGTGTGTTGGATGAAGCAAACCATTTTTGGTGGTGTCCAAAGCAGCACCGATCGGATTGTGTGCATCTTCAGGGACTCCCGCGGCCCGGCTGTTGACAGCATTTGTGCGAGCCCGAGAGAAAATTTTCTGGGTCTTTAAATAGGGGGACAATGATCCCATCTCTTGGGAAGCCGGCCCGTTTCGCCGGGTGATTGCTGAGTCGACCAATGAAAGAATCGCTCACACTGCTTACGATCATTCTATCCTTTCGCATGCAATTGAAGGCTGGCCTGCTAAGAGATCATCGACCGCTCTCAATTCATTGATTGCACAACTGAGCTTACGTCCATAGTCGTTAACGTGTGATCAATCAGCCTGGCAGGAGGAGTTCACTATCAAATATGGTCACAAACCTTATCATGCCCTCAGCCACGTTGAGCGCGGCCAACAATGATATTTGGCCGTGCGTACATATACGTGATTGTCAACATACACTCAGGACCTTTCGCAGCACTCGGAGCACGCAAGGCCAAATTGCCACATGTATGCTAAAATTAATTATAGTTGCGATCATTTAGATCACGCAATATCAGGCAGTGCGCATGCATATGGCCCTGCCGCCAGCTAAGCAATGAACTTTGGCAAACATCATTGCGACAAGGAGGCCAGTTACTGAAATATACCTACGTTGAAATTCGACGTACCTAGCCATACGGTCCACCACCGTTGTAGCTAGCTAACTAGCTAGCTCGACATGTGTTTGCATGGCCGGGTGCATCATGATTCATGCATGCCATGCCAGTCCACCAGATGTTTATGCAGGGCGGACGAGTCACATGCTTGGTTAATTGAAAGCACGACCCGGTTCGCCGATGACGATCCGACCAAGGAAATTGACTGCAGACCATATGGAAAATGAAGACACTGACAATTAAGCGACAATTCTGACAACGACAGTTTATGGTTTGTGAAGACGCGGCGGTATGCAACTGTCTAGATAGGCTGCACTTGAGGTTCGCGACCCATTAGTATGTTTCAAAATCAAGCGCGCGCTGACCTAAAGGCGAGCCGTTGGTTTGGAAGCTATCAACTTTTCTTACAGGTGTTCTTATGTTCCGGCCGATCTTTCGTTTGGCAAGCAACGCTGCAATAGTTCTTCGCTCGACACCTTGAGCAACGGGGTTTGACACTCCCAAAAAGCATCTTGCAGACAGGACATCTTTCTCCAGGATGCTGAGCCATGAGCAACTCTTGCACCGACTCTCCAGCTGGACCATCATTGAAAACAACCTGGCGGTGCTTGTAGTACAGCGCTAGTCTCCTTCCTTCATCCTTGGCAATGTCATCAGCCACGACGGAACATGGTTGCAAGTCACCTGTCACTTGCTGGAGCACTTTCTTCTTTTCTTGCGAATCAGCACCATCAATATACACAACATTTTCGCCCCAATTGTAGCTCACGAGAACCCCGTTGCTGCCACTCTTTTGTGGTATTGCCAGTGCAAGCTGAAAGTTCGGCATGCTAGGAGCAACCACGTTCGTACAGTAAGGTAGAAGGCCCATCCGAAAGAAGCGGACGACTTCGTCGTCTTGATAACCCTCCAAGATGGTGGACATCAGTGCAGGTATAATCTGCTCGTGAAAGCGCCTAAGTTTTGAGGACGAGCCGCGTGCTGCCACATTGGCCAAGCCCAAGCACACCTTGCCCGCAAAGCGGTAGCACGCGGAGCCGGTGAGCGATGCAACGGCAGCCACCGCGCCGGTATCAAGCATCACGTCTAACAGCTTGGGGAGGAGCTTTGGGGGGATAGCAATCTGGCCGTACGGTGGTTTCTCCGTCCTCTTGGGCTTGCCGGGTGGAGTGGAAAACCAGAGGCAGTCGTGCAAAAACACGACCATCCCCACAAGGAACTCCAGCTCCGGGTTGTAGACACGAGCCGGTTTTCGCCGGAGCGCGTCGGCAGCAAAGGCGCGCAGGAAGCCCGGGAAGAAGTGGGCCAGGAGAAAGTCAGCGGTCAGGGTGCCGGCGCGAAAGTTGCGCGTCATGACGAACATCCAGTGGCCCACGCTCTGTTTTATCGAGGGATCCCCCATGAAGCGGAACGCCGTCTCGACGGTTCCGTCGGGCAGCGGCCGCGCGTGCTCGCAGGTGAGGAGACGCACGAGGGCGACGAAGCCGTCCCTCGCATTCTGCAGGACGAAAGGCCTTTTTATTTAGGGATTGGAACGCGAAGGGTAGATCAGCCGGTTGTATGTGCGAAGACGATAGAAGAAGACGCGGATTGATGGATGCCAGTACTTGGTTTTCCAGCCTTACCAACACGAAACCGAATACAGACTGCAGGAACAGTGGCGGACGATGTACTGATCGTTCTTAGGAATCGGATGCGAGAACCTGGAAACTTTTGTACACAAGAGAGAGCTTGCTAGACATTTCAGAAGCCGGTTTCTAAACAATAGATGAACCGGAGACAGTCGACCCGGGTTGGAAGAGACTGCGGCATCAGTCAAGCTGGCACGTTTTAAGGTCGAGCGACGTGAGGCCCCTTCTGACTTTGGGCGGGGACGTAAGAACAGGGGCAAAGACACGTCATGAAAACGCCTCAATGTCCTGGTCTCAAATTTCTAGATCTGAATGTACTGAAAGAACTTCCAAAATAGTCATTTTACAGGAGACAAGATCGTCAATGATGAAAGTTTGATCAGACAAAGAAGGAAGGGGGCGTCCCAAAGACGAATCAAGCAAGAAAATCGTCGTCCCTAAAATAAGAGGGGCTTACGCGGGCGACTGATGGATCTGGACTTTCCACAAGTTGTTGCAAGATTTGGAGCACCTTCAGAACGTCCGGGTGCTCAGCAATCTCCTTCTTTCCTGTCTTCCGGACTTCCGACTCAGGGTCGGTGCTGCGAAACCCAAGTGATGACATTAGAAAGGGACGGACATGAGATTTGAAGCGGTCCGTTCCATTATTAGTGGTCTCAAACGGTGAGACGTCCTGGTTGAGCCTCCAGCTGCGATTCGACATGTAAGCACGTGATATCAACATCTTTCGGTCTCAAACAGAGATCCAGCTTCTAAGATCCGTATTTACAAAATGGCTGGGAGCCAATCGTAACTGCATGGCAGATTGATCTTCCGAGTTCGACAACGGCTTCCAGCCGGTCCCACAATCGTGTAAGCAATGTTGAAAACTTGCCGGTTTTCTTCTTGACAGTGCCAAAAGACCACTGGCAGACATTGTGGATAACCAATGAATATGCAAACTATGTTACCATATGGCTGAACCATTCTCCAGGTGTTTGGAAGTCTTACGTAGGGCACAAGGCAAACTTGGACCAATTACACAACAGATAAACTGTTCTAACCTGCACTTCCGATCAAGGAATAAAAAGCTACAGAAACCTTCAGGTGTTCACCTAGGAACATCGTTTGTGGTCAGAAACTTGCGCCCCATTCTCGCATTGAAGAAGCGGATATACATGCCAGAGTAATTTGAATTTTATTGTGGCCTTGTCCGAAACCGAAATGTCTCAGAAATTGAATGCAAGAAACTTGCTTGGGAAAAGCCTGCAGGCTGCAATCTGCTCACAAGTGCAGCCAATTGATCAGGAGGAGGGAGGCGCAGAGTCCCACGACCCCTTGTCTGTAGTCATTGACTCCTGGCTCCGGCTGCCTCTCGCACTGCACTTGCATGAAGCGAACCGTCACTTTGACAAGCCCTGCACAATGAAGCAAGAACGACATCACGATATTGGACTACTATTCATGTCAATCCTACCCGCTTTGGGGTGGGTTTCAGACTCTGCCTGTCCTGTGTGGTCGACATGAAAAAGATTCCCAGGGAGGCATATATCTTTAAAAGGTCTTTTTCAGCTCTGGAGTTTACATGACCAGAAGGGAAGTAGAGCTGAAACCGTGTTCTTGTTACAGTATGAAATCTATTATGGTGCTGCCTTGTGGACCATAACCAGAAAACACAGCGATTCCAGTTGGCGCACCAACGATAGATGTGCAAGCTTTTTGTCTCCAACAGAAGAGCTCAGAGCCTTTGCATTGTCAAATCCTAAAAGAACCTCAATGGTCACATGAAGGCTCCAAATCCAATTCTTGTGAACGTCCACTTACGGGCCTGTCGCCACTCCAAATCAGTGGGCCCCTTCACCGAAAGAGCAAAGTGGGATGCATACGAAAGCGTAGCTGCCGCTCTGTACACCATAGTGATGTAGTTGCCGTCCCTTTCCATCTTCCGACCTGCCTTCGAAATATCTCCGCCATTCTGGTGATCACGCCCTGCTTCAGGAACCAGTTGAAGCACTTTCTGCTCGTATTTTGCGCTTCCGCGGTACTCTCCGCAGCTGTTAGCGGAGCCCCCATGCTTGTTAAGAAGTAGAGAGCATGCTGAAGCTGCATGTCCAGAATCAGCTTTTGTGTATCGGCCAACCTTCTGTCTTCCATAATAACTGCAGCTACCGGTCGGACCGCCCCATACGCCCACGCATTCGCCACCAGCTCTGGAAGGATTCTGACACAGTGGCTCAAGCCTTCCACGACGCGCACGAAAGCCACAGGGTTCGAATCATGCAGGTTCAAGCACAGCATTCTGAAGAACCCGCAGTCTACCAGCGCTTGAACCTCTTGTGGCGATGCGGACAGCAAGTCTTGCCAGAGTTCGTCGAGAGTGAAGAGCATCTCCAGCTTCTTTTTCCTGTCCAACTGCCTTAGCGCTTTTCTAAGTGGCTCAGCCAGGAAGCGCCACCTCACATTCCCCTGTGCATCGCTTCTGTCCACACTTTGCAGAATCCGGGTCAGGACACTGTCCAGCACGCTGTCGGTGCAGGCTTGTATGGCAGGAGGAGCAGCAGTATCTGCTGCTTCTTTGCAAGGCGACGGGGTCACCATTGCAGCCGGAACCCTCACTAACTCCCTCTAACTCACACAAGCGCCCCTCACACAGTATTAACCCCCCTCTCAGGTGTGCATGATATAGGCCCCTGGTGCTGACCGACTGAGACAGTGAGAGTGAGACTG